GCTATTTACTTTCCCGCGATTCCCGCTACTGCACTATTGCAGCAGTGAAATGGAAATATTGCGCATACGCAGCGTTGACGAAGGGTAACGAGCGGATCGCACCGAAACAGAGACTCACCTGCAGAGGCACAGCTTGCAGACGTTGCCAATGCTGCGACTCTTGCTCTTCCGCCGGTTGTGCTGGTAGAAGACCGTGGAGGAGCCATTTTCCGGATCGACGATGGTGCTGTGCGTACCCCCATTGTTGATATGATCCCCCGGAGCAGCAGATCCTCCTGCTCCCACTGCCGCAGTGGTTACTCCATCGGTAGGGGTTACTCCAATACCTCCAATACCGCCGGCAGTGCCACTCCCACCGACCGTACCCGCCCCCGCGACGCCCGATGACGTGTGCGTTAATTGCGCCAGTTTCGAAATGCTGCTATAGATGCCGTTGGAGTTCTTGGCGCGCTCGCGACTCCGCTCATTTCTATAACGTATCTGGCCGGCGGCAGAGCCAAAACTGTGGGATCCAAAGAGATTGCCCAGAAAGCTGCCTCGGCCGCCGGCGGCAGAGCTGCTGGCTCCGACGTCGACGTCGACGCCACTGTAGCCCATTGAGCTTTTGCGCCGCCTGCCACTGTTGATGTTGTTGTTGTGGTTGCTGCTGCCGCTGCTGTTGATTTTACCGCTCGGGACATCGCGGCGTATGAGTAATTCCGTCTCTGAGTCCGTTTCGCTCTCTTCGTCGAAATCGCGTAGCGGTAATTTGCTCTCAGCCATATTGAAGCGAGCCAGAAGAGAGGGAAAGAGAGGCAGCAAGCGTAGTTGGCTTAAGTGTGGGTGCCTTTGCTTTTTGGCGCCCGAATTGAACTTATTAACACCTTAATTGGATATGCAATTTTCCCCTCACTATTAGCCGTGTTTGTTTATACTCTAGATAAAAATAAATGCCAAGCAGTCTTCTTATTGCCACGTTTCCATTGAGCAATTCCAGGTGTAAACTTCACTGCCGCTCCTTATCACACCCGAGTTTCATTTTTTTTATTTGAGCGGTAAACAGGTAGGGTAAACACCATATACGCGTAAATCGCAGGCATTCCCCGTGGTGGAGGTCCGCTTATCGGTCGAAACGGTTGCCGGCTACCAAATCGTCACTATCAGATTGCAAGTGCCTTCTATTGCTCAGCGTTTTTATTTAATTGATACGAATTCGATAAATAAAAGGCCAAGGCCCGGGCCACACAGCACACACAACGCACACATGCACATGCCATTCAGGTAGCACCTCGAATTTCCAAGCTTTCCGCGTTTTAATTTAGAAAAACAACTATTGCCCTTTGTTTGGCCCTGCTTTGGGCCTCTGCCAGCACATTTTTTATTTATTATTAGCCCGGATGTCGCACGAAAAACTAGAAAATCCCGGAAGCAACTTGCCAGCGAAATAATTTTGGCCAAACGTTAATCAGCTGGCTTAACAGAGTACTGTTAGTAAGGCGCAGAGCTTTGCAACACTGTCTGAGTCTGAGTCGTGGCTGCATAAATTTTAGTTTATGCAAAAGGGAATAAATGAAATTACTACCAAAACACGATTTAAAATTTGTAGAGAAGTAATAATGGAGAAGTTCAAAATGTTAGCCTATCAAGGCTTCGCTTTTTATCTAAGAACAGTTACCACCTACGCCTATGTTATAAAGCAACAATTGCTTTCTTCACTTTTCAACACTAGTTGGCGGTAAGTTCAAACTTTCTCTGTACTTTACAAAAACGTGAGTATAGATTCTTATTTTAAAGTTACAGTTCTTAAAAAAATATATTGTTCCTATTAATTACCACATTTGGGGTGTATAAAATATTAAATGTTTATTCGTAGCTTACATTAGCAAACAAACAATAAACGGGAATTTACACAGAGATCTTAAACAGCTAAAAATAATATGCCCGCAATGGTTAGCGTTATGCATATGCCTTACCATTGACTTTGATAATTTAAAAGTATACAAATGATTTCCAACTAATACGCGACCAATCCGAATTTTCCACTCAGGAGGAGCCACCTACGTCAGACTGCCGTGTTTGTGGACATTTGATCAATACGCTGCCATAATACACTTGCTCAGCTACGCTCCGTCTGCAGCGTTATGTTCGAGTCCGAGTTGGAATAGTTGTGCTCCAGTCGGGGTCGAAACTCGTCCTCGCCATCCGAATAGGAGCCCACCGAACGACAGATGCTGAAACGAATTAACAATGTACTTTAAGGTACCTATGTAAATGTCAATTCTTAATAGTCTGATTCATAAAGATTCATACTATTAAATCATAGTATCAGACCGCAATTGAGAAGTATATTTACAATTATTCGTAACGCTGTGCATAAAGATAATGGGAATTATATTACCGTTGAGTTGACGCATAACCCTCGATGGCCAGGGCTTGACTCACTCCGGGCGGCAACAGCTGCTGGAGCAGTGCATCCTTGACCGCATTGACGCTTGTCGGCAATGGCACGTGGTTCATGTCCACCGACGAGTGCGACTGCGACAAGTGCGGTGCAGTTAGACCGTTGGCCAAGCGTGCTTCTACACCACCGGCTCCTCCTGCCTTTCCATCCCTCTCGTCGACCTCATCCCTTTGCGACCGTTCGATGTAGCGAAGAGTGCGGAAAAGGTCCAGCAGATTGCCAAAGGTGTTTCGCAGATCGCAGTGACCGGTGATGTCGAAGCACAGCTGAGAGACGTTTTGGCGCAGCAGGTAGATGGCATACTTGGTCTGCTGCGACGGCAAAATAGAGCGTGTGTACAGAGGAAATCTGTAATAAAATAACATAAGTAAGCATTGCAATATTTTTAGTTACTTAAATTATATAATGGTTATGCGACTTTTATCAACCTTTTACAAATCGATACATAAGTACTCATTGCACCCGATTGCACTTACTCTCTGGTGGTGTAGGTCAACTCCTTGATATCGTCCACAATCCTTGCCCTCGAAGGCTCATACAGAATTCGGTTCCTCAGTGGACGATCCATAATGATGGCCAACATCTGCACCATGTGGGCAATGTAGCCCAGGGCTGCACTCACCGCCAGCGGCGAGACGTTTTCCAGAAGCTGTGCATTGGCCGCCTGGCGAGAATCGCTTGTATATTGCTCCATGTGGGGGAAGGCGATGCCGCAGATGCTGAACTGCTGTCCGCCCACATTCTGGATGTTGTAGATCTCCTGCAGCTCCAAGACCAGGGTAGACATCCTCCGCTCCACCTATTAAAAATAGTTCATAACAGCTGTTCATTAGGAATCTACTTTGTTACTCCCACCTGTCGAACTATTTGTCTTCTTTGATCACGCTGTTCCAGATGTTGGGGTGACAGGGTGCGCAGCTCCAGGCGTTCCTGCTCCAGTCGATGTCGTTGGTTGTGGAGCTGCTGCTGCAGTGCCTCGCGCTCTTCTCGCATCTCTTCCAGGCGTTGTCGGGCCCGATCGTTGCGCTGCCGAAATGTCTCCCGTTCCGCTTTTAACAGTCGTTGCTGGCTGCTTAGCGCTTCGATTCTTCTGGTTAGCTGCTGGGCATTGTAAAGCGTGAGGGGCGCGATCAGCTGCTGCTCGGCGAGCAACACGCTCAGGGCACGGCCCATGGAATGGTGATGGTGGGCGGAGTGGTCGCCGGACAACGATGTGGTGCGAGGCTTCAGGCGCAGCTCATTCCTGGTCACACAGTGCACACTGAGACGGGCGATTTCCCGGCAAACCTCGGCCATTTGGCGCATCTTCTGCTGATGCAAACGCTGCAGACGTTGCAGCATGAGCAGCTTGTCCAGGTTGTTGCTGCGCCGGATCTCTTGCTGTTGGCACTTCAGCTGGGCATAACGCATCGTACTCATCCGCAGGACGGGACTGGAACTCCGGCTGACGGCCGGCGAGTTGATACCCTCATCCTGTGGCTCCTCCAGCTCTTCATCCGCTGCGTAGTTCTGGTAGTGCAAATGCAGCTGCGACTGCAGACCCTGTTCGCTTATCGTCGACGGAGAGGCAAACTGCTCGCCATTGAGCTGGAAAACCAGGCAATTCCGTCCACACTGGGACAGGGTGAGGGGTGACAGGGGTATGAGGCCGGAGAAGTAAACGCCCCAGCTGAAGAGTAACTCCGGTGGGCGTGGCAGCCGGCTGGGCGTAAGTTGTGACCTTCTGTAAAGAAGTTAAGTATGAGGGAAGTTTAAGTTGGAAGCTAGGAAAACTAGATACCCGTGCATCTCATTAGTCCTTTGGTCAGTCTCAGCCGGTTGGCCATCTCTCCGCTCTGTCGGATAGTGCTTCCACACCTTGACGCACACACACTGCGCATTGGTTTTCCGCCAGGCCTCGTCATCTGCACAAATCTCCGCCCACTTTTGCTGCTGGTGGCGCTGCGGCAGCTTTTCACTTGTGTAGAACGCCCCGCTGTCCTTGTCCGTGTGCAGAGTGTAGTAGAGGAGCACATCCTCCGGCTCCACCTGCTCCAATGACTTTTCCTGCGGTCCGGACACTATATTGAATCCCTGAATTCGCGCCAGGTTCCGCAGTCGCAGTTGCTGGGTGGCCAGTGGCAGCCACTTGCGGCATCGCGGCCGCAGATTCATCGTGATACGCGGATCCGGGCGAACTACGGATTACGCGGTGCCCGCAGCCCGGGTCATGGTGCACTTAAACAACGTTTTGTTGTACTTTTTCCTAAATAACTTTTTACAAAAAAAATTATGAGTCCGAACAGCTGTTTTCTGGATGCGTTAGTGTTGCAAAACGTTGAAAACAGTCAATAGACTGTGCCTATTTTCAAGGTGATTTTATAATTTTTTAATTTGTTTAACGTGGATTAAAAATTATAATGGTTAAATATTTCCCACATATCAAATTTTCATTTCTGCATCATAGAAAATAATAATATTTAGCAAAAGTTTAAAGAACATCCATCGTTAAATTTAAATTGAAGTGCATTTGGCTATTTAAAGCTAGGACGTCAGCACAGCTAGATCCATTGTTGCCAAGACTGGTCACACTAGAAAGTTCGTTTATTTTGCTTTGTCCGCCCAAAAGGAAACTTGCTGCAAGGACTCCACTCCAAAGTAGACTTTATTATGAGCCAGAACGATGCTCAACTACATTAGAGATGCAATCATGGCACCAACGACACGCAGCAGCCCCAAGAACAACAACAGCAGCACTAGCCAGCGAGCGGGCGAAGCTCTAAAGGATGCAAACTCATCCGCATCCAGGGAAACACCAGGTGCTCCAATGCGTGGCTACAAGGTTACTGATAACGAGCGGACGAGGAAATACGGCATCGGAGCCAATTCCCTGGAAATGTTAATAACCAAGGCAAAAAGCAAATTTCCGGTAAGAAAAACTGGGAAAACTCCTGCGTAGAAGCCCCAGCAAAACACCCACCCACTCACAAAGGGGGCCAGAAAGTTCCTGGTCCTGGCAATTTCAAGGCCACGTCCCTGGCAGTGGCTTCCGCGTTTGTTTGGCTCTCTTTCAATGCCACCAAGGGGCGGGCAGTGCGCATGTCTCGGTTAGGAAGCTAACCACCTGTTGACGAAGCGTCCTTGCCCAGCCAAAAAAACACTTGCTGAAGGCCACTGAACCAGGAATTGGGCGAGACACTCTGTCACCCTGGCCTCGTTATATTTGAGTCATGTCAAGGGCAGTTAAACTTATTCAGCTTCTTTCATTTAGCTACTCGAGTTGCACTTGTATTTGGCTTCTGATGGCTTTGAGGTGTCCGATGATGAGTACTTGAACAGCCTGCCTTCCCAGACGCTGTTCATTGTGGCTGGTCCGGATGCAGTCATTACAACTGGTGAGCTTGACAAGAAAATCTTATATCTTAACTTTAATATTGATGATTTCCCTTAGATGCCGACTTTGAGTTTGAGAAGATGCGACAACAGTCACCACTTCTGAAGGTTGCCGACATTTTCTACGACTTTATCGAACAGCATCCAGAGAAGTTCCGCCGCATGATCACGGAGTACGAGCACCAAAAGCAGCGACTCGTCCTGGACAACACCAAGGCCCACCTTAGTCTGAAGGCCGAGCACGTGGAGTGGTTCGAGGGCGGGGAGGAGCGCTTCCATTCCAAGGAAGAGGCCATGGCCATGCGGGCTCAGACACGTGTACGCGGCTACTACTATAAGGCCAAGGAGGAACTGACCCGTAATCCCTTGTACCGCCAAAATGCCAAGGCACGCCAAGTGATAAACTCGGTGCTAGAACAATTTCGATACCTGCTCATCGGCTGCGACTATTTCTCCATGATGTTCGACAGAAAGTGTCAGCAGAAGCACGAGTTCCTGCAGCAGTCATTGGGCGAAGAGGAAACAGACGCTGGCGGTCTTCCCAGCAAAAGACTGAGGAAGGTGATCAAGGAGTACACAAAGGAAAACTGCATACTCGACAAGTGGTCCGTGTCCTTGTGCTCCAACCTGGGCGATTTCTATTGCATGGGCGCCTTCTCAGAGAATGGCAACTGTTGCTCCATGCAGCACACCATTAATCCATATGCTTCGCGCGAGAATCTGATTTTGTTTCAGGTCTGGAACCTGGACCACCAAATCGAACTGTGCCGCACCATTCTGCCTGCCCTTGTGGCCAGTGTGGAGGACCTTGTGAGCCATCCGCAACGGAAGTGCTCGTTGCACAAGAAGCAAGTGGTTGACATCTCCGTTCTTGAATACTTTTTGGAAATATTCTCGCTAAAGAATCTCAAACTTGTGCACATTGTTTGCCACGAAAAGGTTCAGCGGTCAAACCGTTCTAACGGTCGTTTGTTGTGCCCCGATTGTCATGAGTACCGGATTGTGCAGGAGCTCATGGAAGTGCAACTGGATAGTCCAACACCCTAAATGGTTTATCAAAAATGTTAAATATCCAATTACCTAGCCAAGCAATATTTTAAACAATAACTTTAAACAACGCATATTTCACTTTAGTTGGCCTTAACTTTAAAATATTGAATATTTTTGTTTTGGAGTCTATTTTATCGCTGATCTCTAATGAGATTAATTGTACAAATGAAATTTATCTCAAAGTTAACTATCAAACCGTACTGTTGAAAGTATTTACATATAAAATACGTAACTAATAACATACTTATATGCATTTAATGTTAAAATAGCTTGACAGACTATTAGAATTATGTGGCTATGCAATATCGGTAGTAAACCTAGATGTAGATGTTCGTTGACTGTAACGCTTGTAGTTGAGAATTCAATACGTTTTGTTGGCGTTACATCGATCAGCAAGTCCATAATATAAAATATTGATATATTATATATATATACATATAAAAGCGTTTTTGAATAGCAATAAGAATATTTAGAAATGTATACTGTATACACAATTATAAAAAATGTATACGCTTAAGTCGAATTTAAATTGAGTTTTTGTTAAAACTTGACAGGATAAAAGGTTTTTGCTACACTTGGCTTCTCTGTACCTCTACGATTTTTCTACAAACTAAATGATCTCCTTACTTAACTACAACAAAATATACAATGAGCCCAAAAAAAACATCTTTTCCCATATAGGAAAATTCAGTTTATTGATTTTACTTCTCTTTATTTACTAAAAATGTTTACTTCATAAAAAATTATACAACACAAAAATATATTTTATATATGTATCAAATAATAATATTCAAATAAATGTAAATTTTAAAAACATTCGTATGCATACGAACTGAGTAAATGAATAAATATTGATGATAAACAGAAAATAATCTTCAAGGATGAAATTATAATGTTCGCAAATAACAAAAGTATTTAATATATTATTAGTCGTGTTTGATGTGCGCTTTCGTGTTATCCGGATACATATCAAGTCGATTTCTTGGATTTTGTTTCGTTTCGTTGCTACCTCATTGCACCTGCATTCTTCATCTTAATGTGTAGGATTAGTATATATTCGCTTTCGCTATTTGCTTCGTAATGGTGTTAGAAATGTTTTGTTTGGTTTTAGTGCTGCTACCAAATCGCGTTTTAACAAAAAAACTTTCCTCTTCAGCTACAATGTTGGTTGTTAGTGTAAAGAAATTTTACTAAAAACTTGTTCCCGTTCCCAAGTTATTTGATTGTGGCGATCCTTAGAGTGTCTGGTACTTAAACTAGATAACTATAACAAGCAATCTGATTGATTTTCAGTTTCGTTTTCTGTATGATGATGCTGTTGAGTTGCTATAATTGATTTCTATGGCGTTGAGAAATAATTATAGATCCGATTGTCCAGGTCCTGAAAAAGATCAAATCGAGAAGAGTGTTATTTTTGGGTGACTTTAGTGAGCAGAAACAAACAAATAAAGCTAACAGTAAGTTGTGGAAACTTTTAAGTCTCAATTTGACCATGAACACTGATCGAGGTTCAGACTTACATATAAAGAAAGCTTCAAAAGTATATAAACAGAAAATTGAAGCGCAACTAAGAAAGTGCAAGTGCCAGGCAGCCAAATCAATTTTGAGAGAAAACTTCACCTTTTTTGTTCAACTTTTGTTTGTTTTGTTCATTCAATTCAAGTCAGTTCAAATCAATTTAAGTCTTTGGGGTAAAAGCCATTCATTGTCATTATTAAAGTTAACGATTAATTTTTGTTAAAAATATATATTTCTTATTGTGTGTATAAAACAAGTTAATTGAGTATAAGAGAAAGAAACATTTAATTATGCATTTGTAAACTCATGAATGGTTAATGTAACGAACGACTTTTCGACAAGTTATATTGTACAATTTTCCATTTTATGTTTTCCACTCTTTATTTTTTCATATTTATTTATGGTCGTAACAACAAAAAAGTAATCTTCATTCGTTGTTCTTTTTGCAAGGTGGAGTTTGCTCTCCAAGCTCAAATTTTTAGGGAAGCATTTGGGATAGGAACTACAGTAGTTCTATAAAAATATTTGCGATGAAATGTACTTGTAAGCATTATTTCATTTATAATCATCATTGGATCTTTTTCTTTTGGGCATACAAACCTGGTCTTCATTTTTTCTAATTTCATTTTCAACGATCGCAAATATTTTTATGGACAAATAAAAAGAATACGGCACACAGAATTAATGAAAATAGCGGCGAAAATAAAAGTAAATACATAGAAAAGATAGAGGACAATTTTTCGAATATTATGAAACATTCAATTAGTTAAAACTTGTTTTTGGGTAATTTTTTAATAATTGCAATTTTTAGGTACCTTAGGATTTTGAACGAGTTTTACAAAATCATTGAGTTGAGATGAAATTGTTTTTATTTTGTTGTTTATTGTGGCGTTTGGTAGATTTTTTTCAGTTTTATATGCTTGTTATTATTTGGTTCGATTTCATGAGTTACGGTTTACAAATTTTGAAATACTCATGTAGTTTTAGAAAATGATTTTGGTTGGTTTTTTGGTTTTGCGCTTTACTGAGGTAACAAACGAACGAACGAATGAACGATTTCCTTTCATTGGTTTCAATTGGTTTATTTACATGTTTTATTAGATTTAGTTTATTAATGTATTGAGTGTATTCGATATTCATAATGTACAATGTGGATGGGGGATTGATGATGGTGGGATGAGATGAGAAATGCAATAACTGGCTCTTTTATCACCCATTTCCAGGGGCAGTGACTGATTGGGCCAAAAATGCAGAAGACTCTTAATTTACGAAAAGTTCGGGAGTGAAATCCGGTTCGGAAGTTGACTAGCTTCAGACTTAAGCCCCTTTGACCAGAAGTAGGATTTCCTTCTCCTCAATCGATTCAAGTTCGCATTATATTTCGTTCGAGATTTGTGGGGCGCATTCGAGATCCTCTTAGAGAGATTCTATCTCCCTTTTGAACCGGTCTCACATCCCTGCTAAAGACTATAGACCCGCCCTTCTAAATTAAATAGACAATCCAATGCCCTATTCTAGACTCTCCGCCAACTGCTCACGGATCGTTCTCTACTCTGTGAGTGTGAGTTCTGGCGGAAGCATTCCGGGCTTTTGCTGCCCCGGCCATTGGCTATTTCCGGTGACTCGGTGACACGGGCCAAATCGCGGTTGATCGTCTTGGAGCTGAGCACCCGTGGACACCTTACCGTCCAGGGGCTGCGACGCGGATCCTGCAGGGCACGGAAGCTCTTGGGGGGCAGCACCTCATCCCCACTGCCGCTGGCATCGCACCAGCTGTTGTAGTAGTCGGAGTACTCCTTGTCCTGCTTGGGCGTGGGTGCCGGCGTGCTGTCCAGCGAGCTGTTCTCCTGCGCCGAGTCCATCTCCTCCACCAGCGCTCTCTTGGCGGCCGCCTGTAGGCGTTCAATGGGCAGATTTCTCAAGTGAGAACTGTCGCTCTTAAGGAGCAGGCTCTGGACCAGTTCATTGACTAGCTTATCGCTCACCTTGCGCTGGTTTTTGGCCGAGGGTCCTAGAATAGGGGAAGCCGGACTATTTGGGGTCGAGGGATTGTCCGCATCGATGCTGGTATTCTTCCGAAGCGGCAACGAAAGACGTTCCCTGCGTTGCGTCATGGTTTCCGCATCATTCAGAGCCGTCGGATTCTGTCGCCTGGTGATGGACACATTGTGGACTATCTTCCTGCGACTGGGTTTCAACTGGAACTCATCGGATGGACTGGCACCCGCCTCCGGAACATCGTTCTCGTCCTGCAGCAGCTTGAAGAGCCTGGAATGTGTGGCTGCCCGCTGGTAGCTGGTCATCTTGCGCAGCTCCGGAAAACTTTCGGACTCGGTGTCCGTCCCGGAAAGCTGGCGATTCATGTCCGTTACCCCGGAGTCATCCTCCTCGATCTCCGACTCGGATCGCTGTGTGCTGCTGTTGCGCGAGAGGGTTCCCTTGCCATAGGCACTGTCCACTGAGAGGGACTGCTTGGTCAATCCCTTGGAGCCATCGGAGCCATCAGGCGTTGGTATCACTTCAAATGCACTGATCCGATCACGCACCGATATTTTGGGCAACTCGGTGAACTTCTCGACGGCAAGATCAGGAAGTCCGTTGGACAGACGCTTCATTTCCGGTTCGGGTTCCACATAGACCTCTGGCAGTTGGGGCTCCATGTTGGTGGGAGTTGACGCTCCGCGTTCTTCTTCCTCAACTTCGATTATCATTGGCTTGTGCTCCTCCACCACGACGCCATCCTCGCCCACTATCTGGTACTCACCAGGCGGTCCCAGGTCAACCTCTGGCTCTGGCTCTTCCACTTCTAGAATAACACTGCTGCGATTGGGACTGGCAGTTTGTTGTGGTGGCGACTGCTGACCATCGATGGAGGTGTTGAAGAAGGCCATGGCCTGGCGGTAGTTGTGGCGCTTCTGTTCCGCCTCCTCGAACTGTTCCTTTTTGGATCGTTCCTGCTCCATGTCCGCCCAGAAGTCGGTTTCATCCTCGTTGTCATTAGTCTCCTCCTGTTGTGGAGCCCATGTGTAGACTGTGGCTGGCTCGTGCATCGATGCCAGTGACATGGTGTCCACATGGCGTAGATTACTATCAGGGATCTCTTCCTGAGGCTTAACCTCAATCGGTTCCTCCTCCTCTGGACTCTCGTGCTCTAATTCTTCAAACTGTTCTGCCAGAACTTTTTCCTCTTCCACCACGGGATCCACTATTTCGGGTTCGTGGCCCCTGGCTGCCTCCAAGGTGGCCCAAACATCTATTTCCACAGCAGCTTCATCGGGCAACTTAGCTCTAAATGCCTTGGTCTCCACTGGTTTGTAGGGCGTCTCCTCCACTGAATTCTGACGTTCCTTGCGAGCCCAAAAGGTGGCTGACTTATGGAACGTGACATCCTCATCGTCTTCTTCACCTGGCTTGCGTTTGGCTTCAATCTCCGCCCAGAAATCGATCTCCTCATCGGTATCCACTTCTCGAGGCTCTTCGGGGTATTTGGTAGGATCGTACGTAAAGTCTTTGGGTTTCTCTTCATCTTGGTAGCTGTTAGTGGATTCCATGTCTGCCCAAAAGTCTACGTTTTCTTCATCTTTTTGCGAGGTTTGCTCTGTTTCTTCCTGAGCAGGCCAGACGCTAATCTCCGGTTCATTTTGGGTCTCTGTACTATAAGTTGTTTGTTGCCATGTTGCACCAGTGACTGTGTTTTCCATCTTATCTTGGTTTACCGAGGCCCAGAAATCCTCTTTTTCAACCTCATACTTCTCTTGGGGTTGTTCAATTTCCTTTGGTCTTTCTTCAACTACAAAAGTCATCTCTGCTTTTTGAGGAATGGGCAAAGATTCCACGTGAGCTCTAAGTGTAGTTGTCCAGTGCTCCACTCTAGTTAGGGTCTCCTTCTTCAGAGGTGTGTAGGTTACGGTTTTCTTTTTCTTGGTCCACTGAGTTTCTTCTTTGTCAATGGTTTCCTTTTTCTCTATGCTAGCCCAAAAGTCAACTTCCTCAGTTTGGTCCTCCTCCTCTGGTTCGGGTTCTTTTTCCTTGGAGGTTGTGGCGAATGTAGACCAGAAGCTATTTTTGGCAGCCTCCAGCGAGGCTTGAGTCTTGGACATATCACCAGATATGGGTCTAGGTGGCTTGGCCTCAGACATATTTTCTTTAGGTCGAAGCTTTGGTGTTTCAGCTGCCGATTCTGCTGGCTTAGAATCGGAAGACTTCCAAAAGTTCTTTGACTGCTCCATCATTTTTTGGGCTTGCATTTTGGTGGCCATCAAAGTGGCAAAGAAATCGAACTCCTCTTTCGGCGAACTTGCCACAACTTCTTCGGTCTTTGCTTTTGGTTTATCTCGGGAAATATTATTTGTTACATCATTGGCAATTGATTCACCCACGAATTTGTTTCGCATTCCAAGGGAGAACGAAGCAGAAACGTCTTCTTCGCTGGCTTTGATGGGTGTGCTAATCTCTTCCACGGGATAGGCACTGGAGGTCCTATACGGTTTGGTAGACTTCTCCACAGAGTTGGAACGCGAGGAGTTCGACAAACTAATGGTCACACTGACCTCACAGTCATCGTCTTCATCCTCGCTTTCCACTTTGGCCACACTGAACGAGCTCACGATGCTGGGCTGTTTCTCCTCGATCTGAGTGGTATTGCCCACTTGCACAGTGGCGATGTTTTCATCGTTGGAACTGCGACTGAAGGAGAATCGAAGTGGCAGGCGAACTGTTACCGAATTGGACTCCTCATCTTCATCATCATTCTCTTCGATCTGCTTATCGATATCATCGACTATGGTGGATCTGGAGTCATCCTTTCGAATGACTGTCTTGGCGTATTCGCTGCTCCGTTCCAGTTCGCTCTCCTCCTCGTAGATAACACTTAGATCCTCCTCTACAATGTAATCATCGTCCATTTCCTCGACCAGGCCCTCCTGCTCTTCCTCGATCTGTTCCTCTTCATCGGACATTTCCTCCGCGGTGGTCACATCATCTTCGTCCTCGCTGCTCTCGGAGTCCAGATGCTGATCCAAGGTCTTTCCCTTGTAGACCTGCACATTGGTCACCGATTTGATGGACTGCAGGGGAGCTGGACGAGCTCCTGGCTTTGGGGTATCCTCATCACTGCTCTCCTCGTCCGATTCGGTATCGGAGTTGGAGGCATTTTCGCTGGGGGATCTTTCGCCCAGTTCCTTCGCCTGCTCGCCAGCATAATTTTTGTGCAACTGCTTGGAGAGATTGGCCTGAGTATTTCCGCTGGCGATCTTATTGATATTGGCCAATCGCTGGCTCAGCACATCGATGACCTCGTGCTTGTTGGTGCAAATATTTCGGGCCTTCGGCCTGCTGACCAGCTCCTCGATCTCGACGGAGTGCGCCCGTTTCGGTGGCTCTCGTGGCTCCATCCGGATGTGGTGCTGCATGATCACCTGCGAGGGAATATCATCGGTGCTGGGTGTGATAATTATGTCCGGCAGCACACTGCTGGCTCTGCTCTCCTCGGTGGAACTCTGGCTGTAGCTGGGAGCCACTGGATAGGGATACGGATGTCCATAGGGTGGCATGCCATGGAATTGAGGGTAGCCAGGGGGGAACTGGGACTCCCCCGACTGCTGTCCGTAGGGTGGCAGGGGTGGCGGATAGTAAGGATAGTAATAGGGATACGGAGGAAATCCCTCGGCCTGCTTTCCATCCACCGCTTGTTGTGGCGGTGGAGGCGGGGGATACGAATAGGGATATGCCCAAGGAGCTGCCTCTCCATTGGCCGGCGGAGGAGGTGGAGGCATGTACCAGGGATACGGATAGCCATAGGCATAGGGATAATGAGGTGGCACCGATTGCGATCGAGGGGCCTGTGGGGGACAAGAGCTATCCGAACTGAGGGATGAGTTTGATGAGTGGGTGGTGGGTTCTGTGCAGGATGGTGGTGGGGTGGGTGATATGGGTGTGGATGGTGTGTAGCTATGACGTTTATTGGTTTTACTGTTAATCTTATTATGATTATTATTATTTTCAGTATTTCCGTTGCTGTTACTATTATTATTATTTGGGGTTTCGTTCAGTTCAACATTTTCCAAATCCGAGTCCAGCTCGGTACGAATTTTATGGTCTGAGGTCGGTTTTGTGGTACACGGTTATCAAATATAAAAGAAGAAAAAGAGAAATAGACACGGTGAGAGTGCGAACATTATGTTGTGTTTTTCATGTGATCCTTTTGTCAAATTGATCCGATCATATATGATCTGATTAATCGATTGGTTAAATGGTAAAGCAAGCTTTGTACAGGTAAATGGCGTATGAGTAATGCAAAATGGTGGCAATGCTTGTGAAATGGTGTGGGATGCTCCAAATTAATATCATAAGCCATTGGGATTAGGTCAAACTGTATTGTATGGACACCATTCAGCAAAAAAGGTGAAATCTCTCAAAAAAAGGGTTTTTTAAAATTACGATCCTTGATGCAATGCTCCATATGCTTGTGTCTGAATGGGCGTGTGATCATTGCCGTTAGTGATGCTCGATGGTTTCTGAGTATATATATATATACAGCCATGATTTTTGTCTGATTTATGTATGAATTGGGTTCAAAACTTGTAACTAAATGTCAGAAAACGATTTCTCCATCCAAGTGTTGTTTTCGGGACCCTGAGTTCTTTGCCACAGCTGTACTTACCGGCATTTTCAGGTGTTGTCATTGCCTGCAGAATTTTGAATGATCGACTGGGTATAGCGCTACCGGTGTATTTCTTCGGTTCCGGAGCCTGCTGTTCACTTGGCGGCACATATTGCTGTTGTTGTTGGGGGTATCTAGGGAAAAGAAATGTAATATATAATACTCTGAGCACATTTGTTTTTAAAAAAAAGTTGCATAAACTTAGATAATGGATCTCCTTTATTTCCTTACCATATCGTTGTTGCGTGAATCGGTTTTGAGGTGAGACGCCATTACCTGAAAAAAACAGTCATTTCAATAAATAAACTCATTTAATATTAATATTAATGCAATATTTATTAACTATCAATTAGTGTTCTACCTAGTAGTGCTGCAAAATTTTGGTATGCCACCAATACTTGTAATTCTAGTCAGGACAGACACAGGAAGCTGGTTAGTTTCTGTCTACCAGAAGGTGTTCTTGTGGCTTAAAGCTGCTTTAGGTTTTAGTAGAGTTCCCAAGGACCCAAGACACTCCCCAAGGATTAAGCACTCTCACCACAACCAGAATCTTACCAACCGATGGTATATGATATATTTAATGAGGAATCTGAGGATGGGCCAGGGTACATGGAGACAACCGATCGGATCTCACCTTGCGGGGACCAAGCTAATGGCGTACCCGACTGCTGATGGTTACTCTGCTGATCCTGGGCGATTTGCAGGCGCCGCATCTGCTCGATGGTCGGACTATTCCTGGCCTGCTGGGCGCTCATCTGGCGGGCGAACTGCGGCCGCTGCAACTCGGCCTCCTGGGGATTCTGCTGCAGATCCTGTCGCGAATCCTGCCGCAAATCCCCATTCCCGCTGGCATCGTCTACGGTGTCGGTTATCTTTTGCAAAATTCTAAACGATTTCGATTGGATGGGCGGTGAGCGTGGATCGCTGCAAGAAGATATAGGCGAGTGTTAGGTTAGGTTGTTGGTTAGCATGCCGTCGAAAATGTTTGAAATCAACCAAATTACAACGATTTTGTTTTGTATGCGAACGAAACGTTTGGATTAAGGATTAAGTTTTGGATTGGATTTGTGACTGAAGCTTAACGAAACCAAATCTTTTAAAATTTAGCAAAATGACGAAACTGTACTTCAAGCTAGAATGCAAATGTAATATATGAGGTGAGAAGGTACCCCTCATACCTAAAGTTATATTCATCACAAAAATGTGGTCATCCCATTTTATCAATAAAATATAAAAGTATGCAGTTCCTATATATATCAAGTTGTTTTTAAAACTTAATGATAGTTTTTAGAATTTAATCGCTTTAAAAGCAAATATAAATTTGAGGACTATTATTTCCAACTGTCTCCCAACTTAATTGATGCTTTAAAACATACAAAAGTTGAAACTAAATATAGTAAATTTGAAAATAAATAATTTTTTTAAATGGTACAATATAGACTTGTCTGCTCGAAAATATTTCTGATACACAACACTGAAGAATGCATGGCATGAAATATAAATGGTATGCGATATATGCGTGTACTTTGGTGAGCACAGTGGGCACTACCTGAGACGATTCTTTCTGTAGAGTATCTCCGCCTCGAGCGGACACTGGTGCACATACAAATTGTAATTGCCACTAAATAGTTGTTGGTTAAGTTGGTAGAAAAGCACAAAATTAATACGCATTAGTGCGGGCCAATTGTTGGGTGTCGGTAAAGCACAAAGATATTGCTAAAGGTGAATAACCAAATCAAACTGAATTCTACTTACTTTTGCAAAAGTACCGGCGACTGGGAAACTGGACCACCGCGTCCTCCCTCGACAGCTATTGGGATTATCCTGGTGGCATTACCATTGGTGTTATTGGTACTGCCTGCCTGATTGGGCGACAGGACTCGCTGGCCCTGAGCTGGGTAATTCTGGTAACCTTGATCGACAAATTGATTAGCTGAGCGTATTATGTGACCTGCAGGCGCTTTCGTGGGATAGAAAGAGTATACATAGACACATATTGATGAAGAAGTTGGAGAGTTACACAATTGGACGAGAGCGGGGTTTTGGGAGGATCATACACGGGTGGAAGTCATTCCTTTGGAGCGGAGAGTGCAGGGGAGTTTCGGGTTTTGGGTGGGAATAAACTACATACTGTATTAGTCACAAACATTTAGGGATTTTTAGGAAAGCGCCACACAAATTGTACAGAGAACACATACAAGCAAAAGGTTCGCTTCAAAACTTACCACCAAAGTTGGGCTGAGCTGCGGCATACGTCGGGGTCTGCTCTAGGGTTATGGGTATGATACGCTCCTAAGTAAAAACAAATTGAAAAATTATAATAGTGGTATAAACTGACATACAGATTAATTAAATTTAACAAAGTTAAATCGACCTTTCTCGTCTTATTCTCAATTGTAATTGTAATCAGCACTTCATTACTTGAAGTTGGTTGGATGACCAAAGATTAAAGTTAGTTCAAGATTTCTTATTAAAAGACAGATCAATAAATATAATATTTTCTGATTTTACTTCAGAAACAGTTCAAAAATTAAAAAAAAAATTCCCCTAAATTATTCAATTTAAAACTCACCCGTGGAGCACTTTGATTTGCATTGCTGCTGCTGCCATTGGTGTTTACGTTGATCTGCAAACGGAGTCCACCTGGCTGGGGATGTGATCCGAAGTTCTGCAGACTGATGGGAGCAGCTGCAGCCGGAGTTGGTCCATAGCCGTTTCCTTGGACCAACTGGGGCTGGTAGAACGATGTCTGCTGCTGCTGCTGTGGCTGCGACTGAGGCACGACTTGGGGCTGCGGGGCCGGAGTGGTCTGACGCAAAGTGGAGGGCAGGACGTTGCCGTTCTCCTCGGGACGAGCCCAGGGAGCCTGCTCCTTGCTGGCCGGCTGGGAGCTGAGCCATCGCATCGGCTGGTTGCCTTGGGGCTGCTGCGGCGGTCCTTGCTGCTGTGGAAGCTGGCGCATCGGGGAATCCCGGGCAGATGCCTGCTGCTGCTGCTGCAGGAGGATTCGCTGGGCCTGCGGCTCTGTGGGTTGGGCCAATGGAGCTATGTAAAGCGAGCCAACGTTGGTCTGTACAAACAAATATATAATAAATTTCAATGATTAGTTATTATTTGTTAAATCATCATTGTTTTCCTAACATGTTTTTTTAAATTATTTCTAGTTTCCCCATGAAATTTCTCACTTGCCAATTGCCTCAAGTTCAAAATTCGTGTTTGGCCTTTGCATTTGCCTAATTTTAGACACTGCACTTGGTAAATACACTCAATGTTCATTTATGTGTGAATCTTGAAGTTTTTGGTTTAAAAATATCTTATTGTTCTTCCGCGAAAACAGCTTGTCAGTCATTTGACTTGATTTCAGGCGTTCCATTTATTTGCATTGAATTTACAAGCATATTTAATATTACTTAACACAAATAGGTGTTTTACAAATTAGCAGGCGCCGGTTTATTTAGGTATTACTCATAGGCTTGCTCAATGAGGCGTATGAGTAACAAAGTTAAAGGTCATTTCAATATGGAAATAACACAAAAATTAGTGAGCCAATTTGCATGATGCACATGGGTAAACATGCGTAATAACTTAGCTGATCTTGAGAAATTAGCTTGAAATACTTAACTCTGGCCAAAATACGCGTAAAAGAGAAAAATAAAGTAACAAATATGATTAACAAAGTATGGAAACCTAATTAAAATGAACATTGGTCTTATAAATTTTTGGATTTTATTAAAATATTTAACTGGATATGTTGAAATCACTTCAAATTTTTAAAAATTTGACTAATAATTTTTATTTACCATATTAATCTACACGTAGATTAATTTTAAGTTTTATTTCAAAAGATACTTACCGGCTTTGCTGCTCCTCCAAATTGGTTTTGTTGACTTGCAAAGTTCTGCTGTTGCTGCTGTGAATTGAACGTGGTTGCTGCTGGTGCCTCAGTCCTAGCTGGACTGAAGGCATCGCGAGATCTTTGTTGCTGCTGCTGAACATTGTTGTAGATGGGTTGCGGATGCAAATCCTGTTGCTGTTGCTGCTGTGCTGCAGGCTGTGTGCGTTGAGTGCGCCAGGGAACTGATTGAGCTGCCTGTTGTTGCTGCTGCTGTTGTTGCTGCAATTGTTGCTGCTGGAGCTGCTGCTGTTGCAATTGCTGTTGCTGCAGCTGCTGCTGCAGTTGTTGCTGCTGCAACTGCTGCTGCTGAAGTTGTTGCTGCTGAAGTTGTTGCTGCTGCAATTGCTGCTGCTGTAATTGTTGCTGCTGCAGTTGCTGCTGCTGCAATTGCTGTTGCTGTTGCTGCTGCACCTGAGCCAGCGGCGATATCGCTGTGGGTGGACGTTGTTGCGGTGACTGTTGCAGCTGCTGCTGCTGCTGCTGTGCAAAGCGGAAGGGGCTCTCCGTGGACCGCTGTTGTTGCTGCTGCGATTGCTCGAAAGGCGATCGGGGACTGTCCGATTGGCGAGTGTAGACACTCACAGCTGGCGATGTGGGCATGGCCACGCTGCGGAACTCCTGTCGTGTTGCAGGTTGCTGCTCCGACTGTTGTTGCTGCTGTTGCGGCGGTGTTGCCGGCGGCGTTGGCTGTTGCACTGGTGGACTCTTGGCCACCGGAGGCGCCTGTTGAGTGGGTGTGTAGGGGCTGTAGCTGCTCTCCATGCCGACGGCCGATGGTTTTGGACCTACATATGCAAAGAAAGTTAATATTACTTTCATGTACTTTTCTTTCTATACCATTATCATTTTAGTGCAGTTAGTGGGAGGTTTTAACAGCCATTTTATGAGGCCTTTCAGATGTCAGGTTAGTCGAATGGGATGTTTAGAAGAAGCAACCTCAACCGCTTAGTAAGAGCTGGCGATGTGTGATGAAGAGTCGTATCGGGATCAGTAGCGGAACCAAAAACACCCAAAAGTAAAGCGAGCCAAATCCTCTGGGGCTCTGCTCACCATCAACGGCATCCGCTGGACTGGAGTATCCTCCATTTTGGCCAGCTGGCACCTCAGTGGGCAGCGGACTCTTGGAGCGATCCTTGCGGTACTCATCCTTCCAGAACGTGTTCTTCTCCACGGGCGGCGCCACCTTGCGGAGTGCGGCCATGGGATTGGGCGGTATCTTGATCTCCGGCCGGAAACCCAACGGTGGTGGCTCAAATCGCTGTGGAGTCGGCGACTTGCGAGCCGTCGCCGGTGAACCGGGTGCACTCAGGCGGCCAGTGGGTGGCGCTAAGGTGCTGGGTTGTTGTGGGGGTGGTGGTGGGGGTGCGGCAGCGCTGGCACCTTGGATGCCATTCTTACCCTGTGACTGTGGCTGCGGCGGCGGTGGTGGCGGCGGCAGCACCTGGAAGGGCATGCCCATGGCAGCGGCTCCCATCGAGCTGGCTGCTCCGCCGGCACCTGGAGCTCCTCCGCCTGGCGACTGCGGCTGGGCGGGTCTGTTCTGTTGGGAGGCTCCGGTGGCTCCCTCCGACTGGGCGTTGCGCGCCAGCCGCTTGGCCATCCGTTCCGAACGGATCTGGGAGAGATCGATGCCGCCGGGCGTGTAGGTGAAGGGCTTCTTGTCTTTTGTCATCATGGCGTTCTGCACGCAGGCGGGCGCCTCGTAGCCACCGTTTCCGGATCCGCCTCCTCCGCGCTGTCCATATCTACATGAAAAACAAAGGTTAACAACTTTATTAGTAAAATACAAGTACAAATGGCATGAATTTACAAAAAATTTGGTGGACTCAATAAAAAAGTCTTAATAATTCATCAAAGGGGTAATTATAGTTAACCTTATTTCGGGTTTATTTATGAGGGTAATTATAAAGAGCTAGCCTTATAATTTTAGTGAGAAATAATAATTTATTTTAAGTAGTTCTAAAAATACCAAATAAAATTTATACCGATATTTGTTAATACTTTATAAAAAAGCTTATAATTATTAAAAAAATTAATAAATGATAAGAAATATTTTCCGTTAGTACTTAAAAGAAAGATAAATAATAATTATTATAATGATTATAATCAATAAACTGAAGAAGTGAACTTTTTTATTCATAGGATAAGATTTTTGCGTATCATGATAATTTGTAATTGAAATGAAATGAAAGGTCTTCATTAAAATATAAACCTCCACAACAACTTGAGCTTTGTTAATTTCTAAATGCGAATTCTATGGATTTCAGCCAACGTTTTCTTTAGGGTATTATTTTATTTTCGCACTCCCCTGGTCATGCTAATCTGGCTCCCTCATTGTTTGGGCTATTTATCATAATTTTTGTTGAATCTTTTTCTAATTTATTGTTTCGCTCTTGGTTGCCGGCAAAAGCACTCATTTGTGTTGTTTTCCTTTCTTTGCTGCTGCTTGACTAATGAGTCGTTCATCGATAGTTCAATGATCCAATGTTTGGATTTTTTAACGATCAAGGGGGAAAGTGAGTTCAAGTTGTTACGGACGACCGGCCATAAAAGTTGAGACGACCGATGAAGTGCCAAATTTGAAAGGTTGAAAGTGAGAAGTTGCGGTGGTATCATGGCACAAAAAGGTCTATTGAAAAAATTGCTTAAATTATTTTGATTATGATTAATTTAACAGAGAAATTAAGTAACCATTTTGATTGGATTTTTCAAATTAGTTCGTTTTTTTTCCTATATTTTGAACTATGCACTATCAGTTAAAACTTCAAAATATTTTATTTAATTTTTAGAAGCATTTGAAAAATATATGAAAAGTCTGCTAGTACTGGATATGATTAATTGATATACGTAGTTCCTCTATCAGGAAATCAAAGGAGATTTCGGGGACACGCAGTAGAGTTTAGGCAAAATAATTATGGTAATTACGTTTTAGCCTTTTCTGGTGTAAATTTAAGCCAGCGAAATTTTCCTATTCGCACTTTCTCAGTCCCGTTGAATATGTTTTCATGTACATAAATCCCACTTCCCAGTCAGTGTCGACTTTTCTCCGCATAATTTGCTTATTTTAAATGCGTAAAACGTTCACAAATCGCTAATTAAAAGCGAAAATCGAAGATCTTTGGCGACGTTCTCGTTAACGTCTCGCTCAGCCTTAAAGCCTGTTATGCTGAAAGAAAGTGATGGAGTTCGGGATCGGGTTCTGAAAAGTTGTCAGGCCCGTTTGTCATTAGCTTGGTGTGCGTGGACGCTGATGATTCGCCTCCAAGTGGGTCAGGCGAACAGGAACAGGTGATGCCTGCCTGCCAGTTGTGCCATAAAGTGGAGGTGGCCCAAAACTCTGCGGTCTAGACAATTTACTACAGAAAAAACCCTCCTCCTCCTCCTCTTGGGACAGAGAGCAAAACCGCAAATGCGAAGGCCAAGTTGTGTGGGAAAACGGTTGCAAAATTCACCCACAACTGGCTTACATGCAAATTGGAGCGCGTGCATCAAAGTCAAATGCAAATGACGTAATACACTGCGGTTAGTGGTGACAGAAAATCGCATTTAAATCGAAGCAAGACAACCCGAATCATTAATTGCCCCCATATTTGGAAACACATCGAAGAAATGCCGTTCAGCTCCTTAAAAACCTGGGCAGGGTGCAGAAAACTATGGATAGATATTCCCGGGCAGGTTGGGACACTTGTTGAACTTGCCATTGATTATGTGCGAATTAATAGCATCAACAGCTTCCATAATTGTCGGGCCAAGCCCAAAATTGTGAGGTCGTTCAGATCGGTTCATTTCAGATCGGTACCCCTCGTTTATTGACTCGATCGGAGTGTTTTATGGCCGGGTAGGAAATTCAATTTACACAACCGTTTGGTTAACTGTTTTTCTGTATTAAACGTTAGCCCGCCTTATTCGGCTCGCTTATGAAAGTTATTAAACACCGCGACAAGCCTGGAAAAATGTCAGTTTTATGCAGTACCTAAGCATTTCCTGAAAAATCGATCGAAAACAGCAGCACTTTTTTTGCATTCCCATTCATTGTTCTCAATTCCCATGATCGTCACGCACGTTGAACTAAAAAATTTGGTTGCCAAATAATTTCCGAAAAACATTAAAAACTAAAAGATACACGCGCTAAAAGCACAGATGTCGCCTGATGACGTCAATGGTCGGGACATGGCGTCAGTACTTGGTACTTGGGGATTCGGTTGGCCAGCAATTGACCACAAGACAAGACCGCCAACTGTTTTTTTCCCTCTGACAGATTTGGCAATTAAAATGTCAGACCCCCAAAACCAAAAAAAAAAAAACTATGAGGAACCAGGAAGAGTGAACCAAGTTCATATACAAACAACCCATATTCATAGTTTACCCATAATCATAAGCCGACATGACTAATTAACTGGCACATTTTACATATATTCTTTGTGAATCATAGGCAAATTCGATTTATTGTGACATTTTCTACATGCACTTTGCGCCTTAAATAAACATAGATATATCGAAAACATTTTACTGACCGATGGCTGAGCTTTACATTTAGCCAAAAATAAATGCAAAGCAGCAGAAATCCTCGAATCGCAGCTGGTCGTGCGTGAGTTGAAAACATGCAACGCTAACAAAACACCCAATTTAAAAATTAAATGATAGAAAAACATCTGTGCAATTTCGAATTTTCACTTTTTCTTATTTTTAGTTTGCCTTTGGTTTTGATTTTGTCTTTGCGCATGCAAATGAGCGTGCAGAAATGTATCTGAAGGCAACTGGCTATAACTTGGAACCGGGTGGATCCACTAGATACGGGAGATGTCTTGAGGAAAGCGCTGGAAAAACGAGTGATGAACTCGTTGTTTTCTCTTAAAAGATCCATTTTGACTTTTTTATACCTCCTCCTTAATACTTTTTTAATTTGGGTTGCAGCAGCTTACAAAAAGAGTAAATATTTAATTTTCCAAAGATTAATTTTATCACATTGATAAACAAATTAAATATGTGTCCCATCTTGTTGGAACAAGCTTAAGAACAAAGTGATTTTTACCAGAGTTTGTAATATTATAAACATTATCGCTTACGCACGAACAAAAAACGTTGATATTAATCTATTATTTTAGTGTTACAAATGTCAACTTGATGTTAATTTAAGTTTACTTGATCATTTTATTTTGTTCTCGGAAGCAGAATTTACTGTGGAATTAAACATTTCGATTATAGCATTGCATCAAATTATTGTTGATCTTCCTGGTTTATGTGTAGTTATTAATTATATTGGGCTAACAATTCTTGCAAATGTACGCAGGGCAGAACTGGAGTTCAAAATAACATTAAAATAATTATTTAAATCAGGATTATTAAATCAGGCAATTTTAATGTTTCTAAGGTCTAGTGCCATCATATCCCCGATTACCCCGTAGTAAAAGCAAACTTGTTGCCTAGAAGCATCCGCTGTTGCAGCTGGCCGTGCATATTTCAAGATCAAGGGCAGCCAGCAACATCAGCAGCAGTGGAAGCAGAAGTAAGAACTTGAAAGCTGCCACATGCAACATGACATAATGATAGTCATTGTCCGCCCGTCTTGGCTATAAATAGCTGGACCTGAAGTCGGTGTATGGGAGTGTGGGGGTCTGGGAGTATGGGAGTATGGGAGTACTGGGGTACAGGGTGCTCCGTCCAGTCAACCGCCCACATTCCGCAGTTGAGCTAATCTAGCGATAAATATTTACTTGGAAATTGCTTTTGCCCTGGCATTTTCTAGCTCTAGCTCTCTCTCTGTTTGTTTCTGACTTTCGTGGGGGAACTTACGAGGATTCCAGACCCATCTTGGCATCTCCATTCACGGGCAGCTCTGACAGCTGGAACCCGCGATCCTGACGAACCATATAGGCGGGCAGAGTGTCGATGATGGCATTGGCCTTATCATTATAAGAACCGAGAAGTTCCCGATACTTGGAGTAGACGACGCGCTTCAGCTGCGGATTCTTGGTCGAAACGGGGGCGGATGATGGTGACGGCGACGGAGATTGCAGCGTTGAGGTGGCCATTGTTTGCGCTTTTTTGTTTATTTATATTTTCTTATATATAGTGTAGCACTATTTATCTGAATTTTGTTTTTAAAATTACACTTGCATGGCGCGGAATTGGGGAGATTGTCTTTAAAATGCTGATCTATCTGCGGATGGTCCAAGCAAATGGGTTTCAAGAGGGGCTTACTAAGGGGATTTTCTTAAAGAAGCATAAAAAATGTGATATAAATATTTTTGATGTGCGTCAGAGTCTGATTTTAATAAAAACAAGTAGGTACAATTTATTAAAAATTATTTTAGGAATATTCCCCGGCCCTGCTGTCTTTCTTTGTTGTCTAGATCTGTTTTGAAGCGCATTAGAAGACAAATAATATGAGGAACAATATTTACAACACATTTGCCTGTTTGCAATTGCCCTTATCAGCAAACGTTTCCATCAAAGACTGGTATTTTAACCAGGTATAATGGGTTGCACAATTGATTTACTTTTTTGTCCGATCGCGGGACAGGCAAACAAAGGTGCTGGATTGGAACCTATGTATGTGGTCGAATGACTCAACGATCGATCTTTCGATTGAGGGAAGTCAATTTAACCTTTTTTGACAGAGGGCAGCCGGCAAATGATTATGTTGTGTGGATGACTCATGGCAGCCGAGAAGAATCATCGAATTTTGGGGGAATCAAATACAGAATCAGTATGTAGCGTACAGCTGTTTTCCGTCGCAGGGAAAAACGCTCACGCACGTTAATTATTTTTAGGCATGAGCTAAAGAGTTGCCCTAACATTTGCTTGGCCTTCGCGGGGGATATCTAGATATCTAGCAAATAGCCTGAGATATTTCCTAGATTTAATCACTAACTTGGAAACACTTTAATCACTCACTAACTCAGGCACACGCGCTGCGCAAAAAGTATCTCGTAGGTTCGTTTGTATCTGAGGAGCGCACTTGGGCGACTGATCGCAGCGGACTTTCGAGGCGCATTGAAGTCGGGTTCGGATCGCTTGAGGTTGAACGGAACGGCGTAGCTGAGTCGGGTTGTTTGGCAACTTGTTGCAGATACATTTCCAGCAGAGGTGCTGGTGGTGGTGGTGCCGCAAAAGGAAAACCGATCTCTTGACAAACGGTCGGCTGGCACGCGGACTGTAGAGCAATTTATTTGTCTGTCAATGCGGTTCGATGATGGCGACAAATTTCCAGCTAAACGCCGAAAAGACTTTGCGACGCTTTCGTTTATCTCTATCTGGTATCTCTCGGTTGTATCTGCATCTCTTATCGTGCTGCTAATTGTTTTCACTCTGCTGTCATGTCGTCTGCTTATTACCTTTGTCTATTGTCGTTTCTCACAATTAAAAATCAAAAATCCAAAGGAACGGGTATCTCCCGCGGCTAAGGTTCCTACGACACTATCTTAGTTCGGGGGATTTCTTTATCAAATCCACGCACTCGGCTTGCTGCTCCAATTAACTCATTTGAACAAGCATCTGCGGAAATGTGGCCCACTAGCCTTGACAGACAAATAAGATGTTATCTTTTCTGCTGTTTTTTCCTCTTTTTTGCGACTGCTTTGTACCCAGTTAAATAATAATTGGCAAGAAAGCGTTAAGGAATTTAAAACGCAGAATGACTGGGCTGAAATGATTTTCTTTTGCCGCCTGACAGCTACAATTTGTTCAAAACAAAAAAAAAATGAAAATGCCACACGGAAGGGGAAAGTTAAGAGACATCACCGACCAAAGCTCATCGGCAACAATAATTGAGGATGGTTCTGGTCATCGAATAGACTTTCGTTTAATCCCATTATAGGTAATTAAAAATATTGAAACTTTCAAAAGATCTGTATCTTTTGTGGCCATGGTGAAAGAAGAATTTTCTTTACCTATTTGTCAATAATTTTTGAAACTTTAAAACTATTTGTACATTTTAATTTCGCATTTGGAAATGTCCCTTTCAACTGCTTAACTCTTATATTATAATATTTCAAAATAAGGGAAAACTTTTGACGTTTATATTACATATAAAATAGTTTCATAAATTGATCATTTTTACAAAGGTGACACAAAAGATTCTTTCTTTTAAATTTGGTGTAATTCTTACGCATCTCGATAAGATATTACCGCTTGTAACAAATTCTATTATTTATGTGAGTTTGTAATGTTAAGATCAATAGACAAGCATTTTCTTTCAATCCACCCACATTTCCTTGTTTCCTCACAACTTATTTACTGGCGAAATCGATCTATCAGATTCTTAGCTATACTCCCTAAATATTACACAGAGAAATCAAATTACTTCAATCCCGAAATTATGGTAAGTTCTACAAAATCCAGGGAAAGCCGCCTAGACTAAGTTTTCCACCAATTCCATCAAGAACAACCGGTTCGCCCATTTGGATCTGGAGGCTCTGTATGGAATTCCCCTGCTCTGTCCAGTGGAAAAGTGCCAGTCGCAAATGTCGCCACTTGAGATGCTGGCCCATCTGCTGATGCGTCACAACCCGCAGGATTCGATGACAGAGGTCGAGGCAGATGTGCCGACGCAGTACGAGGTGGAGCTGGAGAAATTGACGCCGGGAAGGAATCACCCAGTGGGTGTGATAGCCTACGGGGGATCCCCGAAGAAGGGTCGCAGCTGTGCGGTTACTGCGGATCTGCAGATTGTCCATCATCTGCCCATTATTCTCATGCTGTACGTGAGTCCACCTATGTTGAATATGGAACAGGCCTACATATTCTACATGGTGAGCCCTGTGGCCTCTCGGCAAGTTAATGCCCATCTATCGATCCTCGATGGATCCCATTCCAAAGAAACCCACGGATTACGCTGCCTGCGGAATGCACTGGACAGTCCTTTGAAAGACGGCGAGGATCTGGTCTATTGCAACATGGACTATCTCCTGTACACAGACATCGATATCCGAGAGCTATGCCCTTCGGGAAAAGAGCAAAGGATCTTCGTCAAGATCGTTCTGCATGGTGAACCCGACATCTTCGAAGTGAGCACCCAGCAAGGGCCGGTCGACTAAGTGACTCATTTGACTCGATAAACACTTAAGTGCCGCGCCGCCAATTGACGCACACTTGAAATTCGAGTGGCTGTCAATAATATTCTTTCCTCAAAGAACTGTCAGAAAAATCGGTTTCCCCCATTCATTCAGTATTTCTGTTTTGGCTGGCTTGAAACTGGGTCACACAGAGATATTCGGTGTTGTGCAGACATCAATCACCAGGGCCATCTAATTAGTTAGCCACAGGCCTCTTATTGTGGGAAATACTAGAATGATTTCTTCCGACCGTGAAGAATGAGGTTTTTAATTATGTGTTAAATCTGGCTGTGCTCTTTAACATTTCTTCTTATTTTCTCTAAGGTTTTTTTCACTTTCGTTTCATTGACACACTTTGCTGCAGTGGGGTGGTACCTATTTAATTATATTATTTTAAAAGCAGCGGCCTTAAGTATAACCAATAACTTGTAAACAACAAAATGTTTTTGTTTGGTAAACTCTCAATAGTGGTAAGAACTAATGTTAAATTAATAGTTTATGTCTTTACAATTGTTAAAACAATGCAGTGTTTCCTGTTTATCTAAAAAAGGTCATGAGAAAATAAAATGTAATATTTATTTATTTATTTATTTTAAAAATTCAGATTAAAAAAAGAACAATAAAAAATATCCCCAAAAGCCTCTGGGTCTGGCGATTAAACCCATAAATTAACCCAAACTACAGAGAAATTAAAGAGACGTAAACCAAAAACATAAATACGTATACAAAGATGCTATTTATACGAAACTTAATTTTGCAAACATAAAACGAACACAATTTATTACCCATTAAATCCAAAAAAAGCAAAGCGATCGCATAGGGAAAAGTTAAACAAAAAAACAAAGAAAGATAATCCAATAAAGTAGCTTTTCCCATCAACACCCACTGTCAAAGACACGAGCGTGTGTAAAAGCGTAGATATTTTAGGCTTTTTTGTTGGAACCGACCTTGAAAAACTATCTGACGACAGGGAAAAAAGTTTACACACACGAAAACAAAAAACATACGCAATCAAGGAACTCATTCATCACTTTCTACGACTATTTACCCGAGTGTGCAACTCGTTTTGCATTTGTCATTTTGCTGCGTTGATTGCATGACATGAGCACATCAGACAGGGAACCATAAGATTGGGCTTGGTTTTGGTACTCGCACTCGTAATTATTTATATTAATCTGGCCTGGGTCAACGTCAGCGATCCCAGGTGAAAGCGAAACGCAGTCTGTGCCCCAAAAGCCCGTTGCACAATCGATGGCGGTAATATTTCTTGTTCAGCCGAGTGGCGGGATATATGCGCATACGAACATGAATTTTTGTATATTTTCCTGCCATGACCACATGTCGTCATTCATGTCGGTGGTTTTTGGCCAGATAGGCAACCGAATCCCGCCAGCGCCTTTTTTCGATTTTTAAAATTTTTTCCTTACAGCTCATAATAGTGTTGGTTGATAAATTGCCTTAGTATTAACTTGTGGAAATTAAAAAAAAGGTAAGACAATTTTGAATTTGGCTTGTGGAGAAAGTAAATTTATTTAAAATTTAAAGATTTACGTATTTTTTGAGGAAAGAACTAAAGAATAAATACTTTATTGTATACATAAATGATAACAATATACTTTTTTATAGTAAATAGTAAAACTATAAATCAGAAAAAAAATGTAATACAATAAATTCTTCAAACAAGAAAATGATTGCATACTTCTTAATGTATTTTTTGAATATACTGATTTTTCGATCATTTTGGTCTATATTTTTATTATGAGTGTACCATCCGATATAAATCCTAGGCAAAGTGAATCATTAAGTCAACTATCATGGGAACAATCTAAGTCCATTCACATGGCTATTCAATAATCGATTCCCAATGCTGTTGAACTGTCATTTGGGTGTGGCTTTATTTCTTCTGTCTTATCCACTTGGGAATCTTCCTTTAATTTTAATGCCCTTTTTCGCATTCAAATTTCACGGTCAACTGCGACCAACTTGAACTTCGGACAACAAATCTGTTTACGAAGTTAAAAAATGCGAAAATGTATAAAATAAATAAACTCACACCTGATTTACGCAATCAACAAAAGTGAAAAAAACCGACAAAGAAGTGTGAAAATAATTGTCGTTGACAAAAATCAAAGTCATGTCTGGTAATGCATCAGAGGCTCAGACATTAAAATGCGAAAAATAATTTAAGTTAAAATAAACATTAACACTTTAAAGTGTACATGGTCAATATTTATTCCAAGTTCACACGTATAATTTGTAAGTACTTGTAGTTTCTTTGTGTCTATTTAAAAATATATAAATTTTATTTATTTGTTGAACGTTGCGTATACTTAACGTTTTGCTGATTTGCAAACGGTGGAAAATTTTCTTTTGTTTGGTACATTGGTTAGGAAAATATAAACAATGAAAGTAAAGAGAATTCGAAATTTAATATTCATAAAGAGGTCCTATTTTTTCTAAACAAAATTTTTGTATTTCTCTTTTGCATATGGTTTGACCCAATTTCCTCAATATATTATCGAAGATTTCCGTGGGTGAGGAAAATTTATGCGCCGCACATCAACGTCAACAAAGAAATGCAAAAAAAAACTGTCTGAGGAAAAAACTTTAAGAATAGAAAAAAATGAAATAAATGCATTTTTTGTCGAATTCTTGGCTTTATGTTTTGAAAGGTTCTTGAGAATTTGTTTTATGATGTGCGTGGCTTCGAAACGAAACTTCCGGTGACTGCCGTCAGCCGTCTAAATTCACAACACGTGTGCCAATTGCTTCTAGACAAAAGCCAAGAGACAGCTGCTGGCTGGGGCTAAGACATAAAACTGTGCACCACCACAGAGCGAGTGAGATGTTGTTGAAAAATAGGAAATTTAATTAATTAATTCGCTTGGCAGTGGGGGCCGGGAAAGGGCGGGGAAATGAGGGGAAAACACCGAAAGTGTCGCCTGCCAAAAAGCGCGTGCAGCGTGGGGCAGCCAAATGAGATTTGGGCGTGGGCGTGGGCCATCGATGGCCTTCAAAAAGACTCATGTGTGAGCCTTAATTGCAGAAGAGATCATAAAGATGATGTGAATATATGTATACCATAAAATGTATATGTAATATTACGGCCCTCTACTGATAAGTAAAAGGCTTTAAAAGACAATTTAGGGAAAACAAATTGATATTACTTATAAGTTAAAATTAATTTTGAATTAGAGCCGAATCAAAAAGACCCTTCTTCTTTTGTGTTTTTTCTTAAAGTGTATAAAATAGATTTCCCCTTTTTATTAAACTGTTGAGAACTATTTGTATATGCAGCATTAAAATCTTTTTTATTGAACTCAGCTGTATATACATCTGTTTTATTTATTTTGCTTCATTTCATCCACATCCCCGGCAATAAAGTTCGGGTGTGTTGTATATTAGTTTTCGAAAAAAACACTCGAAAAATAGTGATAAATAGTTCAGAAATAAGACAGATGCTCTTTAACTTTTGAAGGTTTTAATTATTTTATGATTTTCTTACTCACCCAGAACTCATTTTAGCCGCTTTCTATGTATTTCAAGTTCAACTTCAAAACACTTTTACACACCGCCTACACACAGCCGCCAGTCGGAAGAGATCGCGTTCTTTGGATTTTGTCGTAGGCGTTGGTTTTCGCCAAACGCACGCAAGTTCTATGAAAAGATTTTGCAACGACGCCTATTCACACAGAAACACTGAAAAATTTATGGAAAATTAAGAGGAAATTATGAATATTAAATCGAGAATTATTTTGCACCGAATAATATCACGCGTTCTTATATAATTCTGCGGCACAGGCACAACCGATCCACTGGGAAATAGTTTTTCACATTTATACATATAGTTCAGAATCGGGATGATCATTACAGAAATAGTTTAGTCTAGCCAATACTTGAAGGGTTTTGCACTAGTCAACCAACTACGAAACCCTTTTTCACCAATGTTCTTTTGGGAATTTTGTAATTTTCTATTTATAAAACGCGGCACGACGCATTGCTCACTTTTGCCAGAGAAAATACTCGTATCTATATCTATATATATCCGTATATATAGACAGCCCAGCTAGATGGTATAGATATATCTATGTGTTAGTTTCTAGTTGAAAATTTCTTTATTTCGGATGGTTTTCTCGTTTGCAACGCGTTCAAGTTAGCAGCCCAAGTCGCACTGAATTCGCACACGAAATTTTCTCGGCCGAAAAGCCGAAAAGCACATTTCACATTTCGAAATAGGTTCTTCTTCTAGTTCTTATTCGGTACATATTCTTTTCGACCATCGGTCATGTCCGTGTCTATATCCATTTGATTGTGGTGGATACTTGTGAGCATGTGTAAAGTGCGTCTGCTCGGAAAATTCGACGAATTTTGAGTTTATTTAAAAGAAATCTAAAAGTTGAGAAAGCCCGCGGACGTTTGTACTTATTGTTTTCCTCTTTTCCGATCCGCAGAACCATTCAAATGTATTTACAGGGCCGATCATCGTCGTGTTTAGTGCGCAATGCACTTAGCACATAAAATCAGTTATTGGTACTTCTGTATTTCACACTAGACTGCTTCAAAGATTTTGGTTGGCTGGGCTTTGTTATTAATCATATTGGTATTCTCTTTTCAAACAGTCTTGTCAGTTTTGGTAAGGTAAGAAAACAAGCAATTAATATAAAAAATGTTCTAATATCATTACCTAAAAATTGTATTTTTCCCATTATTCGACTATGCTTGTTACTTACTCTGTAAATCCATTTCAAGTGCATACAGATCTGTTATAATAATATTGAGTAGCAAGACAGAGAATAAGAAAATGCATCTGATGAAATATATGCTGCCCCCAAAAGAGTTTATACAAAAAGACAGAAGAATGCCATCATGAATGATTCCATTTGGTTGTTCTGGCCGTGTCTTGTGGGCAAATGCGCTTATAAATCATTATAAATCACACATGCTTGAAAAACAAATAATGGAAAAAGACCGCTAAACAAACATCCAGTGTATATATGTAAATTTAGTGTATATGTACCCTAAACAAGGGAAAAAGAGCGATGCTGGGGAATTAGCAAATCATTTTTCTTCAGCCGGTTAGACGATTTTCATATTCAGCTCTAGCAGTTTTCATATTACAAGTTCCTCCATTATTTTGACTGGACCACCTGTCCAGGGAGAAGAAAAACACAACAAATTTGGCTGATGCTTTCGATTATAAATAGATTTCTGCCTCCTTACCAATATAATGTGCGCTTACATATAAATGTATACGACCAAAGACAAATATCGGTTTGTACTTTTATTTATTTTTGTGCAAAATGCGCCATTAAATTGTATAAATAGATCTTTGAAAAGCGCACAGGGCGCTGAGTCAACGAGTGCTTCGAACATTAACCTCATTAGAGGATCGAGAAATAATTTTCGATTCCCGTGGCGAAGGCT